CAGCGTGGCACCAGTCCAATGAATTGTCAGCCTGATACACTCAAAACAATGGATAGTGTATTGAGAGCAAAGACCCGATAGAGAAAGGCTCGTGACGAGGAGTTTGAGAATGGAAGCCTAAAGATACAGTATATAGTGCATACAGTAGCAGAATTCTCAGGGCCCGTTATTAATGCCTTAGGAATACTCACATGAGTAATTAAATTAATAGCGACAGAGCCCTTCACAGCCCCTTGGCGGAGTTCCCTAACAAGCACCCGAGGGACTGAGCTAGGGAAGGAAAAAACAAGCCCTCGTGTACAGCAGCGTCTGTATTCCTCTAGCAACACCCCTCTCCCATTTGATGCTCTTGTCTGCCCCCTCCCTTGCACCCAGTAAGGTCTCTCTCATCCTCAGCTTTCCTTGGTACATAACCCAGTAAGGTCTTTTGCCTTTCTCAGCCCAGCAAGCTATTCACCACAGGAGAGGACCATAAATCCCTTCCCTACATAGCAGAGAGTTGAGTCTCCACTAAAAGACCTTTAAGCCTTCCAACAATCTCACCGGAGGTCCTGCCTGGGAGGTACGATCTTTGCTGGTTAACAGGGTAGACTATGGGACACGCAGTGGGCCTAGGACTTAGGCAGAGTCCCGACAATCTGGTGGCAGCATTAGACTGAGAACTCAGAGGCCCAGAGCCCAGCCTCGTGCTTTGCACCCAGACAAGTCATTCTTGTGTGTAGTGCCACACACGAGACATGATGGCAGAGGAGTTGTCATTACCGCTGTCTAAGGAGCCTCAGAATACCTCACCAAGTACTCCAGGTTGACTAGTAACTACACAGGTGATGAGTGAGTTTTCTCTACCCATTTCTCCTGAGCCCAATTCTGTCTGCACTGTCTAATAGAACCTCCTGCAATGATAAAAACGTTTTATATCTATGTGTCCAAATAGCCACATGTAGCTACAGAGCACTTGAAATACGGCCAATGTGAGGAACTAAACTTTTCATTTTATTGAATGCTAATCAGTTTAAATTTAAATAGCTACAAGTGGCTAGTAGCTACCATATTGGACAGTACATGTCTAGTTGGTCCTTCTCTTCAACCAAACAAAACTAACCACGAATGGAAAAAGCAATCTAGTCTGTCCTAAATGGGACTCCAGCTCTAAAGAAATACTAGGACTTTTTTTTTTTAATAAAAGAATCTCGGTTGCTCTTTCCATTCCAGTTAAACTTCAGCACCTGCACCCTAATAAAAGCTCCTGCAGAGAAAAAAAATCTGAATGGAGATGTTCCTAGCAAAGCTTGTCCAAGAGCCCAGGTGACTCCGATGAGGTATTTCTATCCCTCTGTCTACCTCTCACCCAAATATAGACATTTGCACATACTTTCTCTAGGGAGAAAATGTGTAATTGTGAAGGACAGACAGTAACTAAAAATTATGTGGTCAACAGGTTTTCCCTGGGTCTCGGAGCAGAGGATTGGGCCCCAGAAAAATTGCTATGAGAAAATTCAGAAAATGTCTTCTAACCAGCCCTTCATTGAGTGGTTCTGGTATTTTGGGTTGTACGTAGCTCTGGCATTCAGCTCTGTATGTTGGGTTTTCTTCTGGTGATGAAAGGGTCCCAGGTCAGCACAGCTTTTTATTCGATTTAGATGAAGCAAAAAAACTTCCAGAAAACCAAATGAAAAGCAAGACGCATCAGCTTCTAAAGAACTTCCATATTTATTGGACATAGCTTTACCATACACATCTCATGCCAACACACAGGAGGCATATACAAACAAACGCACCAGCTTCTGTGTTCCAAAGTCACATGGCAATAAATAAGGATGAGTGGGTCCTTTTTTTTTTTTTCTTTTTCCAGGAAATGAGACTTCATTTCTTTTTTTAACTGTACAAAATTTACACTGCGAAGGGTGAGGGCAACAATCCAGAGCTTAGGGGATTCAGGGGGCTTTGAGGTCCGAATGCAAGTTCAGAGCAGCATCTGGGCTCGTGCAGCCTTGAACCTGCCCGGTTGGCTGAACGCAGTCCTCACGTGGGGAAATACCAATGCCTCTCGTCTCTAGGTGGGCAGCAGATGAGAGTGGGGGTGTCCTCCTCTGTCCACCTGTGCTCTGCCTCCCTAAGCAAAGGAACGCTTGGCACACCTGCCAAACCTGCGCCTGCCCCCTCACCAGAGCTAGCAGCATGAAACTGTGCTTTCACTGTGGGCCTACCAAGCAGAGTGTGTGGGTGGGATGACTTTGCTGCACTCTCTCTTTCTGGCTCCAGTCACCGTGTGAGAGCAGTTGGAGCAACTGACCAACCCAAGAAAGAGAGAGCCAGTGATGTGCTTTTTATTTAGCTTTCAGCATGCCCAGAGCCCTTCAGCAGCAGGCAATAAAACAAAACTCATTTCCGCTTAATTGGATTTTTCTTCATCTCACGGTTTCCAATTTTTAAAGTGCAATGTTTAAAAATGAGCCTCCTCAGTCCTTTCCAGACCCTGCTGGCCGAGGAGATACGGTCATTACTTCCATGGTTATAACCAAGTTGTCAGTAGTGGCGTGAGGGAGGGGTTGGGTGGGCGTGTGGATGCCAGACAGCACTGCCACCCAGCACACAGCTTTTGCTCAGCTGAGGCCTTCAAACCCCCCCGCTCCTGCAAGGAGGCAGTTATTTCAAAACAACTAGCTTGAGCTTCAGAGATGGCCGTGTCTTTTGTTCTACGGGTTATTTATACTTCTTGCAAATTGAACTTCCTTATGAGGATCTAATGGCCCCCAGTTATCTTATTAGATTTCATGTTTTACATTGGCAAAAAAAAAAAAATGTAAAGACACTGCCAAATGTTTTTCTTATGTATTAATTTTGCCCTCTTTCCCTGACGTGTCACTGTGTTGGTGTACAGGAATCATGGTATCAATACAGCAGTTGATTCTCACTTTACATTATATTCATAATTATCAGATGAGGCAAGAGAGAGAGCACAGAGACAGAAAGGAGTTTGCCTGCCGTTGCACAGCACGTCCCTGAAAGGACCAGGACCAGGCTTGGCAACAACATGATTTAGCCAGTGGGCCAGCTTAGCCCCTGCTTTTGGTGTTTCCTCTGTGGTTTTATTATTTTTCAAGAAATACAGATTCTTCCACAGCCCCACAGGTCCCATTTTTGCTTATACCAGTTCCCATTGGAAGCTTGGGTGGTGTTGGCTTTTTCTAACTATTCATTTGCTCCCGCATTCAGAAGCCTCCTGTCCTAAGGCCTGTCGGCCACGCACTGCAAATAAACATTGCTAGTTAATTGCTCTCTAAGAGCCACAGACAGGTCCAAATAATGTCAATGGCTCTAGGCCTCATTTCATTTTAAAAATTCATCCGTGTCATTTTTAGCAACGGGGAACCAGCTGCCATATAACACCTAACACCTCAGTACTAGACTACCGAGCAATAGAGGAGTGCCTGGGAGAGAGTCTCAAGGTAGCATTCTGTGTTCTCCACCTCCGGGCTACAAAAGAGCCAAGGAACAGGCTTGGCATGCGGTGGCTCCTTGGTGGCACCGGCACATCCATGATGCTAACCCCTCTTGCAAGGAAAGCCACTTAAACTCTGAGACCGATTATGGCTGTGCTTCTAAATGGGGCACCAGTGTTTTCTACTCTCTGGGGAGCTGGCTCCAGGGAACTTAAATCAAAGCTCTCCTAGCTTTTGGCCCGTGCCCTCAAGAGCTTGTCCAGCTAGTCAACCCAGCAAAACCAAAGGATTTCCTCCCAGTGTCAACTGCACTGCTCGCTGAGTTCCTCAAGATCCGTTAGCGCTCCTGTTAGCGTGATGGAGGAAGGCCACCCATTCTCCCACCATGGAATAGGGAGCGAGTGTGATTCACTTGCAAACAAAAACAAAAACTGGTCAACAGATCTTAAAACAGCGCTACACAGAGGGGGCGTGCCCCTTTAGAGAGTCTGCTGTCCGTGTACTACACTCACCACAAAGAGGATGTGCCTCTGAGGTCCTATGGGATAATACCATGTCAAGTAACGGAGCTGTGACAGTGGTCTGGGTGGGACAGTCTGCCGCTGGCTCTTTGCCCAGCAGTCTTTCTCCTGTGTACTGTGAGCAGCCTGCTAAGAACAGTGTGTTTGAGCCTCTGCCCTCCAAAAAGACAGTGGCACTTGCCTTATCCTTCCCATGGCTTATTACTGTGCATCTGTGTCTCCATCCCTCCCCAGCCCCACTGTTCACATTATTGGGACTTCCCAGTAGCACAGAATTGTCTCGACTTCGTTCTCCATCATCCCTACTCCCGGGGCCTCAAGAAGAGGGCCTACATGTGCAGACTCCCCCGGCAAAAATCACAACGGCAGCACATCCAAAAATAAGGGTACACTCCAAAATTGATCAGAAAAAAGGCTGATCCCAGGAATTTGCAGACTATATATTTTAAAGAAGCTTAACTGACCTTAGTGTAGCCCTGGGAGGCATTTACAGAAGAGGCAGCCGCCAAGGAGGAAGCGTTCATGTCTTCCTCGAGGCTAAATCTTTGCGGGCCTCAAAAGGTGAGGAACACAGAAGAAAAGGGCCTTAGGGTCTTGGGCCCCATCCTGTCACGTGAAAGAAAGGCAAGCCCTGCTTACTTACCCTTTTCCACACTCCTCACCTTGTTTCAGAAAACGGGAAGCAGGGAGAAGCAACCCTCTGTGTCCTGAGGGGACTGGAGTAGACTCCACCTGCCTAAGTTCCCGTGTGCACGCGGAGAACTTCCTGATAGACAGGTGGACGGTGCATAAAGTGGGAGTGGACTTGCGAACTCATCTACACCAACTCCCTCGAAACAAACTCACAATACCATTTCACCCGACAGGAGGGGGAGCCCTGGGATGCTGGCATGCGCTGACTTGGCTACGTGGACTGCACATTTGGAACCCAAATGGGGCTGCCAATGTTTTCACTGATTGTCGTTCTGTTGTCTCCATATTTTAGCTTTGATCGTTTTGTAACCCACAGCCTGTCTAGTGGCATCAATGATACGAGCAAATTAAAAAGGCACATTGTGCTCCGAGGGGACTCGTCGGGCAGCCGCTGTGATGGTCCACGGCCACTCAGCTCCAGCCTCAGAGTCACCTGCAATGAAAACCACTTCTTGCCGTCAGGGATGGGAGTTCTTACAAACCAAAACCAACAAATATTCTCAGGCTTGTACTTCTGGGAAGGGAAGAAGTCATATTTTTTTCACAGCAGAAGAAAAAAAGGAGCGGGGTGGGGGGGGGCATGTTTTCAATATCAAACTGTGGCCATCCAAGTTTCCACTGACCTTTAATAATAAGTGACTTTTTTTATTTCGGAAATTAGGGTTCAATAAGGGTGGTCCAGAGATCATTTATTATGCATAAGGGCTGTGATGTCGCTGCCTTAAGAAGCTTCGTTCTGGCAAGAGCACTGGTTTGGGAGGCACCTCATGAGACACACCAGCTGGAGCAGAGTTCCCAAAGACCAAGGTGGCCCCACACAGTCGCCTGTGCCACCAAGCACTGAGCAGCCAAAGCCTTTAAGCAGGGTGGGGGAAGGGAGCCAGCAAGCCAGCACCCTAGCGCTCTAGGCTCTGTGCCCTGTGCTGTGCTCTGAGAGGAGGCAGCTCTCGGCCTCTTCCCCGGGAGAACAACGCCCAAGAGCGGTGGCCTCCGAGGGATCAACAGAGGACTTCCTTCCATTGAAAATAATGGAAATTCACATTGGCGCACTTTTGATCCTACAAAGGTCAGTCTGTTTTGATCCTTGAAGCTATTCTCTCAAGCCAGAAGGACAGGTAGGGTGGGGAGGAGAGATGTTTAAAAAGGAGGGTGCTCCATTTCATCGAGCCAAGAGGCTGGGCTCGTTGGGAAGTCGGGATAGCCTACACTGCTTCCTGTGGAGATGTCGGAGGTGGGTCCCCCAGCCATGGCTCTCAGCGTCTGGCTCACTCCCTGCCCTGCATGCGCAATGATGCCCAAATTACTGTCCACCGTGTAATCCAGCCCATTGAGCAAAGGCGCGTGGGATGGCAGGGACGATATGGAGGATGGAGACTGGGGGATTCCATAGGGGCTCCCATCCCTCAAGTCCTGATAGGATTGTCCTGTCCCGTCCATGGAGAAGCTCCCATTCATTAACTGTCCGCCTGTAACGTCCCCCACGTTGCCATAAATCCTATTGGTGTGGCCAAGTTCTGAGAGAATTTGATCCTCTGTGGACAAAAGAACGGAGATTTATTGTCAGCCGCCGGGACGCCGGTGGTCCCCTGTTCTTCACAACCTAGGAACACGCACGACCGGGAAAGAAGCCCAAGGATGGCAGCGGCCTTGCTGCCACGTCAGCCTGTCGTCCAGAGACTGACGCAGGTCAAGGGGGAGAACCGGAAGCAACACCTGCAGAGACTCAATTCCTAGGACCCAGAAGGCTGGACAGTGTTTGGTGAGCTTGCTGGTCCCATGTCGCTCATGGACTGAGATACTCTGGCTACACTGAGGACATGACCAATGGAAACCATGACAAGATTTTAAGCTTCCAAGCTGAGTAAAGTGCCTGGCGCAGTTGGTTGGGAATGAGCAGGCCCATATGGTATACGGGTAGCTGGGGACCACTCATTTTTTTTTAATTTAATTTTTTTTTATTTTATTTCCAGCCCAGGATTTTTTTAATTTTTTTTTTTAAGGTGGGCGCAAGTCACTTTGGCCCATATGGGGATTGAACTGGCAACCTTGGTGTTATCAACACCACACTCTACCCAACTGAGCTAATCGGCTACCCCAGGATCACCCTTAACATGTGTACAAAATCCTTCTGGTCCACCCGGAAAAGTGGTTCAATATCAGAGGACTTGGTTTCTCTCTCTATCTCTAATAAGTTTTTCACTGGGGACAGCGTTGACCCGATGAAGGCAAATGAACAGTCTTGTTTCTTAGAGAACTTCACTAAAGGGATCTAATGGCTATCTTTGCCACCTGGACGAATTCATCTCTCCAACAGAGGCAGGCAGTTTTAGTCTTAAGAAATAAAGGATTAGATAATTACCTGAGAGACCAATAATAGGTCGACCTGGGGACCCACCTGCACCCAACAGAAAGGAGCTACAAACCAAGACTTAACAGTCCTGTATGTTCCAGACATGGATTTCAGCAGCTCAGATGGGATGACGTGGTTTTTCCAACCCCACCCAGAGGCCTGGAAGGTGAGCATAAGACTCTTGAGCCCTCCCCAGGGCCCCAGGACAGACCTCGAGGCTGAGCTACAGTCTTCCCAGGGCACTGTGCTCCTGGCACGCAGCTCGTGCCATCCTCTGCCCCGCTTTTCTGGGTCTGTGCACCAATTCCTATCTAACCCCCATCGAGACTAGACTTCAGCACCCATCCCTTCTGACAACCTGCCAGAGGCCTGCCCCCATTCCAGACATTAAAATGAAAGGAGGAGAGCTCATGCCCTTTAAAGGGGCAGAAAGATGAAGGCTCAGCTCCACTGTAAAATGGCCATAATTTAGCCTTTTGCCTGTACCTGTGATCACATAGGACCAGGGCCATCTGTGGGAGCCACAGGCTCCCTGTGGGACAACCAAGTGCAAACATGTGCTGCACTTTCCCCTAGCACATCCAGTCAGTCGTGTTCATTGATCCCCACAACAGCACTGTGAGGTGGCCAAGGATGTGGTTACTACCCATTTCTAGATGGGGAAACTGAGGCTCAGGAGAAGTGAACAGATCTGACAGAGCCACAACTGGAAACCCAATTTCCAACACCCCCCCACACACACACACACACACACTTAATACTCTACCCCTCCCAACAGAAAGCCTTCCACATTCGAGGACTCGATATAGGAGAATACTGATGGCTATTTGCAAACAACCTAAGGGCCCAAAACATGCAGCCATCTGCAATTTTGCTGATGCGCCAACTTGAATGGAGCGCATGCTGCAGAGCTGAGTGCAGGGAGACAGGGAGTGCGCAGTGGGGGAGGGGTTCAGGAATGAGGCCAGGCCCCTTCTCACATGCACACACAGTATTGATCTCCCAGGGCAAAGGGCCTGGTGAGCATGTCCTCCCCATCATGTCCTCCCCATCACCGGGAGAGGAGAAAGGGGTTGCTCTAGGGGATCACAGGAGGGAGGCCAGGGCCCCTGCAGAGGCGAGAAATGCACGAGAGGGGGCCGAGGGCACAGGATGAGACCCAGGTGCCTTCCCAGCTGCCACTGGCTGGTGAGAGAGCCCCCAGTCAGCAGGAGAGGCGGGGAGGCCTGGAGGAACCCAGCTTCCACATCTCAGCAGCAGAGCGCTCTTGTTTTGACCTCCTTGTCCCATCTTAAAGGGCCACTACCGCGTTCCCCCACCCTTTATGCAAGTCGCAGGGGAGAGCCTGTGTTCAGGTGGGAGTTGTCAAGGCCTCAGGGAAGGTATCTCCTGAGTGTCAAGGGTTCCTGCTTCCCAGGGGCCTTTCCCAGGGCCTGGGCCTCGCCCCTCCAGCCCTGCTCACCTCGGAAGCTCAGCTCACTGTCACTAACCCCACAGTCCTCGGCAGAGCTCTCCTTCTCCTGCTTGCTGCCTGCCCGGCTCCTCTTGACGCTCTTATAGAACTGGCCCCAGCGATGCCGCCCTGCGTCCTTCTTCAGGCGCTTCTCCTTGGCCCTTCTGTTCTGAAACCAAACCTGCCGCACAAGCACAAGGGATGCTCGGGGGGTGCCCACCACGAGTCCACGGCCCCCAGGGTCCCAGAGACAGGAGCAGAAGCCTCAGTAGAGTTCAGGGCTGGGAGTATGATGTGCTCACTACTCCCTCTGCCTGGGTCTCAGAAATCACACTCCAGATTTGGCGAATTCCCGGGGTCATGGCCCTGAGCCCAACTCCCCAACGGACCGGTGACATTGCTGATGAGGTGTTGTGTTTACCACTCCCTCAGCCTCCTGGTGCGGAGGGCACAGACACACTGACACCCCAGGCCCCCTCCATCCCTGCCCCTGGCCCGAGGCCCGGAAGGAGTGGCACTTGGGCCCAGGGATCCACAGAAGCACAGGGGCCCCTGGGCCCGGGGTAGCCAGTGTCTCACCTGTACGACCCTCATGTCCAGGCCTGTCTCTGAGGAGAGCTGCTCCCTCACATGCCGGGCGGGCTTGGGGGAGTTCTTGTAGGCATTCTTTAACGTTTCCAGCTGCTTCGCTGTGATGGTGGTCCGAGGCCGCTTAGCTCCGGCCTCTGAGTCATCTGCAATGAAAACCCCTTCTTACTGGGTCCAGCCCACCTGCAGCAGCTCTTGTCTGCTATGGGCGGAGCACTGGGGAGGACTGGTGAATGTCGGAGTGGAGTGGTCCTGACCCCTGGGGAGCCCCTCCTGCACCACAGGCCTCCCCGTCACTGAGAAATGAGGACACCATCCTGCTGTTGCCCTCAGCTCCCTTGTCCCCCGCCAGCCCAGCCAACACAGGGCTCGCATCAGACCGACGGTGTACAGTCCACACGTTTCCCTGGCTGGACAGCCTTATGAGTTATTACCAGGGCTGTGAAGGGGAACCCGCCAGACTGACGTCTGGGTCTGGACGGCCCCCAGGCCCCTGCCTCTCCCCCCATCAGGAACCTCCATCTCCCCGGGTCCCACCCCATGGTCTCCTTGCCTCTGCCACAGGCTCCCTGGGCTCATAGCAGGGGTGGCCTGCTATGTTCATAAATTATGGGTCAGAACCCACTAGTGGGTTATAACGTCAATTTAGCGGGTCAAAAAATTTTGAGGAAATAAAATGGGTGGGATGGGATAGAGGAAGGCTACTACTGTTTCATGAAACCTTAGTTTTTGCTGTATGAATATGGGCACTAAGTTGAAACGTAAAATGAGTTTCCTACTATGGACCACAGACAAAATGTTTTGAGAAATAGTGGTCCACAAAGTGCTCGGACAGCTGCCTCCCTGGCCGTCTGGGCTCCCCGGGCTCCCTCCGTATCCTTGAAAGCGTCTCCACCACACTCCTACCTTCCTCTCTTTCTTCTTTCCTTTCCATTCAAGAAAATCTTCTCTTAGGAACAATAGTAATAGCCAACATTTATTAAGCACCTACTGTGTGCCTGATGTTAACCTAAGTAAGAGCTGTATAGGCCTGCAATGCTCACAACAATTCTAAAAGGATTTGCTTGGACTCAGGAGACCGCGGGTCTTGTTGAGTGTGACGTGGGCGTATTACGTCACCCCTCTGAAACCCGGGGCGTGCACACAGTGGAAGGGGAGTGAGGCCCCAAGTTCCTTCTCCTTCCGCTGCTGTCACCCTCACATGCCTGTCACCCAATCCCATCCCTGGAATCCTGAACCCAGAGAGGAAGGACCCCAGAGCCATTGGGGCAGACAGAGGAAAACCTCCAAAATTCTTTAAATTCTGTTTTAAAGAATCAATCTTTCTGCACGTATTTATAGAGATAACAGCATGATAGCATTTGATGCAAATATGAAATAGTGCCCATTTAAAATATCTATACAGTCTTTATACATAAAATTTGAAATAATGAAACCACCAAAAACATGGTTCAGTCCTCAAGAATCGCTTCATTTCAAAATAGGTGGACCTAGTGAATGAGACATTGTTTCCATCACCACCAGATGGCAGCACCACGGGCCGATGCCCCTGCCATCCTGGGCTAATGGCCCCATCGCTGCTCCTGCACTGCTGTCGACGTGCACAGGACTTTCTTCTTGCGATTATGGGGACTATTATGCTGTTATTTTAACATTCACTGTTATTATAATTTAAAATCTTCTTTATATCCTATAACAATGTCATCCAAGTATTCATTAAGTAGCAGTCGGTGGCCATGCTCATGCTGAAAAATGTACCCAAAAATCAATAACTTTGGTACGGAAGTTAAATGTGATAAAACGCTATGAGGAAGGCCAAGCAAGACCATGATACCCTAGGCTGTTAATTTAGGAGAGAGCATTCTGCGAGGTATTAGAGATAGTGCTGAGAAAATAGAAAGTAGCATTAAGGCAAAGATACACTTCACCGGTTATGGATTTATGTGCTCCCAGAATACATCGCCCCCCCCTTACTTTTTACATTAATTCCTATGGGAAAATTAGTCTTAAAATATGTTCATTTTGAATTATGCAGGGTCTCCTAGCACTTGTCCCTGGCATAAAATGCAACCTCATCATACTGAAAATGCAAATAGCCAGGGAGATGTAACAAATGAACAAAATCATTCACACTAAAGTACAAACAGCTGATATTAGATCTTTTGTGTGGCATGAGGGAACCGTAAGCCTGAAAGAGGGTTTAGATTAGCAAGGAGGAATTAAAACATAAAAAGAGCCCACATGCCCCACAACAGGACAAAGCTCCCTGCTGCACTAAGGGTAACCCAGATTTCACAGGATGGCGTGGTCCCCCACCTTGCTGACAGCATGAGACAGGAGGAACCCATCAGAAATACCGTGTAACCTCCAGCGACTTGAAAACATAGATCCCACCACTTCCCCGTTAAGTGCATTTCTCTTCCATGCTGGTCTCACCCTCACTTAGCGTCCCACTCCACAAGCGTTATCCTATTTAAGGCTCAGGAAGCAGCCCTGTGTGGCAGGTGCTATTATCCCCGGTAGAGAGCTGAGAAGCCAAGGCTCAGCCAGCTGCACAGCTTGCCCAGGGGCCCCCGTTAAAGAGTGACAGAGAAGAGATGCCCACCGGGCTTGTGATGCGAAATCCAGTGTCTTTCCACTGTCCTACACAGGTCTGCTTTGGCGCAAATAATCCTCCATAGAAGTGTTAGCCTGCCTGTGTCGTTCCTGCCTCCCTAGCTCGTCTCCCCTTCCCTAGAGCCATCTGCAGCCGCAGCGGATGCCAGGCCATGAGTGCTCAGGGACCAGACGAGGCCTCTGACAATAAGAAGTAGCAGCCATCCCTGGGGGAGGTCGTGCATTCTTAGTATCTCTGGTGAAGGGCATCAGAGCTCCGAAGGCAGCGTGGGATCTCAGAGTCCATCTGCTTTGATGGCTTATCCCTGACAAAGATGCCCTAATCTTCTGTGACATCATAATTGACTCCAAAGCAACAGCATCGAGTGCGTTTTAAGGAACCAGAGCAGATAAATACATTAAGGCGAAGAGCCTGAGAATGGGCTTACGGGGGCCCTGGAAAAAGGAGAAAAAAGGACACTGAAGGCCTGTGCGCCCTGAAAGGCCAGAGGTGGGGGTGGCTGGAGAAGAGAGAGGAAGCCCCACACTGGACACCCCTGCAGTGCTGTCCTTCCCACCTTCCACCAAAACCACTTGGCTCCCGCTGGCTCCCCCAAAAGGCCCCTATGAGTTACCTCTGCCTCCTCACCCCCACAAACCCTTTATTTTAAACTGCATTTATTAAGCAAAAAACTAATTTCTCCACGTACCGATCAGATTTATATAACATATGTGTGTGGGTCCAGGGAAGATCTAGAAGGAGATACATGAAATTGTTGTTGCTGTTGGTTTTTTTTTTTTCCTTCAAGCCCAGAGCTGTCAACAACAGCTGCTTTCCATAGGAACACCCTGAGTTGATAAAAATTCTATTCAAAGGCAAACCTGGATGTTTGGTGAGTTTGTGCCTCTGAGATTCCCAGGTTGGGTTTGGCCAAATGGCAAATTTGAAGCCAGTGGACGGCACACCCCCTGCAGACACCACTGTGACAGAGGAACGCAAGGGGGGCAGTCGGGGGTGGCCTTCCTGAGGGGACCTGGGAAAATGGGGAGCCAAGCCCAGTGTAGTCCCTGGAAAGGCCCTGGAAGGACCTGGGGCTGCCCAAGAACATGGCACTGGAGGGCAGGGAGCAGCTGGTGCCCGGGCTGCCCAGGTAAAGGCAGGTTGTCCAGGTGTGGTGTGCAGTGCTGGGCCTGACATCAGTGTCAGCCCGGGTTCCTGCTGCAGAGCACGGACGATGGCCTCAGGTGGTTGGGGGAAGGGTGGCAGGGTGGGTGGGAGTCATATGACTGAGTTGGAGTCTCCCCGGATGTGGAGACAGGCTGAGCACTTGCTCTCACATCAGGGCCTTCAGGGACACGAGGAGTCATCACCCCTAAGTCCCCGCCCTCTAGGAGCACGCAGGCTGGGGGGAAATAGAACACTGTCACCTGAAGTCCGTGCTGACCATTCCAAAGGTGACTCAGGCCAATTCGAGGGCTCTTGCTGACAAGCCCTTGAGGTGGGACGGGGTGCTGAGGTAAATGTACATGTACTCTGATATACAAGGCTAAAGAGCACCCCCAAGTGCCCACTGTAGACAGAGCACCTCCCCCAGCCCCACCCGGTCAAGGAGCCACCCAGATAGGGAGCATAAGGTCCCTGGGGGCTCCTGAGCCCACCAGCCAGTGTGGAAGACAGGTGTGGGCTCACGTGGCCACCACTGATTCATGCTTTAGTGAAGCCAGCAAGTGCCGAAGGGTTGGGGGTGTTGAGAATTAACTCTCCCTGTAGAGCTCAGGCATGGGTCTCAGAGGCACGTGTGAGCAGGGCTCTGAGGGACTCAGGCAGAAGGACACGCCAAGCAGAGGGCACAGCCTGACAAACGTCTGGAAGGGGGACTGTGCAGGGCGGCGCCGGTTACCGTTCTGCTTGGCCGTCTCGTAGTCCTCCTTGCACACCAGCCGCCCATCCTCCATGAGGTAGAACTCGTCCCCCGTGGCCAGCTGCCGGTTGCAGATGATGCAGGCAAAGCAGTGCAGGTGGTAGACGAAGTCCTGCGCCTTGCGGACCACCTGGGTCGGGGGGATGCCTTGCTGGCAGGACGTGCATTTTGTGCCGAAGCGCCTGTCAGAGCAGCATGAAAAGATTAGGGCGCAGGCTGTCCGGCTTCCCCCCACTTCCCATCGTCCCTCTCCCACCCCAAAATTCGGGGGTGTCCCTGGACATAAACCCCTGGGCCACCCAGTGCTTACCATCTCTTCCCTCTGCCTCCAATGGGCCCCATTGCTTTGTGTCTGGGCTCTTTAACCACAAAACGAAGGGGCTGGATCCAAACTAGCATCTAATACCTTCTCCAAGGCTGACATCCCAGGGCTCCACACTGCCCGATAAACACCCATTAATTCACCCAGGACCTGAGGAATGTCTAAGCCTCCTCTGAACACGCAGTTTCACCCTTCACCTCCTGGCTTCTCCAACTCTATGGCTGGGCCTAGAGGACAAGCCCACAGGGCGTCTGCGTGCGCCCCACCAGAGGAGCCTGTGTGGCCGGGAGACGACACGCGCCAGTGTCCACCCTGGAGCTCCGGAGAAATCGCACCTGGGCAGCAGAGCAGGGCTCTGCCCGGCACACACCAAAGCCCCCCATGCCTGCCTCCGACGCCCTCCCATGCATAGCCCCTGAGATGTGGTGGTCCGGGGTGGGCTCAGGAATCTGCATTTTCCTGCCCCCGAGCCATTCAGGGCAGGAAGTCTGCAGACCCGTTTGAAAAATGCCACTCCGCTCCCTGGTCTACGGCTCTTGGACCAGCACCAAGGCAAGAGGAAGGCGCCCACTGCCACCCTGAGCTAGCATTAGGAAGGGAGCAGAAGCAGACACCTTGGAAGTGTAGTCCAAGGGGGTCATTGAAGCTCCTTTCCCCATTCTGGCCACGCACACAGAGCCACACCAGTGGCCATAGAGGCCAGCGGGGATATTTGAGGCCAGGGTAGGCCTGGGTGCGGAAGGGGGGGGTTCTCCTCTGCAGGTGAGCCTTCCCCACTTCAGGAGGGAGGCGGGAGGGGTTGGGGAGGCAGGGGCAGAGTTTAAAACAGCAATCAACCTAATTATTCATGACATTTCACACAGCACAACTTTATCTTCTTCAGGATGAAAGACTTCGCCTAATGGATCTGGGGAAGGTTTGATTTTAATGGTCCTTTTAACTAATGCTTATAGGCAGCCTGATTTCCCCTGAAAGGACAGTACATATTTCATCCACATTAATACCAAATAAATTAATTATGGTCATGGCTATCATGATGAATCCCAGATTAATGCAGAATGATGGGTCTCTTATGCAGTAATGATACCTGCTGGGGGGATGCAGGGGCCCGGAGCAGGCGTGGCCAGCTGGGGCTTCAGAAGCGCCCCCTCTCAGGGGGACATGGTGTCACAGAGAGAAGTGGGGGGTCTTTAAGTCTAGATGGGTAACCCTGAAAGAGCCAGGAGTGTGGCCCAGGGGACTGACTGAGGCCAGATCTGAGAAGGGTGTTGGGGTGTGAGGGGCTGCGACATTTGGCTTGGAAGGACCCCAGACTTCTGAGCCCTTGGAATGGCTCTTAGTTTTGTGAGGAGGTTGGGGTGCATGGAGCAGGCCTCTTTATGGCAAGCATTCTCAGCCTACATAGGCACAGGACAGGCTCTGTAAACCACTCCCAAGGTGTTCAAAATTGTGTATCAGGGCCGGGGGTAGGGGGGCGCCTGGGCTTTCAGTAGATTCTCAAAGAGATCTAGGACCCAGAAAAGTAGAGTTCATGTTTGTTGAATCAATAAATCAGTGAAGACAGAACCACGGTTTTAGAGGCCATGCACGGAGATGGCTAAATATAAGAATGGAGAACAAAGTATGCTGTCAGTTCTAGAATGTTCTGCATCTCCTAGGACACAAGTGAGAGCCAGGCTTCTGTGACAACTGCTATCTAACCACGTCACCTATATTAAAGAGAAAGGTCCCCAGCTCTATCCTATGGAGTGTGTGTGTGTGTGTGTGTGTGTGTGTGTGTGTGTGTGTTTGGAGGACAGAGAAAGGAAACTTGTATATGTGTTACTAGAATGTGTTTTCAAAGTGCCTGTAGTTTTTATATCCAGTCCAGGCCAATTCTCAAAGCAGGTGTTCAAAATGAAACAATGTTTCATCATGCTCACTGCAACAACCCCCCCCCACCCACCCACCACCAAATAAAATACCCAAAATCTAGGATGTCCGAATCCTTTACTGCAAACATTGGAGCAGAAGCAGTCCAGAGAAGAACTGGCGTTTTCCAAGAAGCAAATCCTATCTTGAGGACAAAATGAGGGGACAGGGACTGGAGCACGGGGAAGGCTGAGGGGAGATTCCAGGACAGAGCAGGGACCCCCCGCACCCCCCCCCAACCTCCTGTCCCACAGAGAGAGCCACCTGTCTCTCACCACCACAAAGCAGACAGTGGCTTTCAGTAACCAGAAACCCAGTTGACACCAGCGCCCCAGAGACATGAAAGATAACGGGGGTATAAATTTAATCTACATACCGACAGTGATTCATGTGTGAGGGTGGCAAGTGCACAAGAAAAATGAAAAATAAATGGACTTTTCCACCAGCGTTTTTTAGCAATTGAAGCAATTTTCCAGATTGTGGGATTTATACCGATGGTAAGTGGAAGCTGCTCCTTATTACCTTTCTCCCCTGGAGCACAGCCAACAGGAAGCTTGCTGAGGGGACTGCATGCACCCCTTGGCCCACAGGGCTCCCCCAACATGGTGCAGCCCCAGGGGACACCCTGCCTCCACTTCCGGTCAGAACCCATGGACCCAGAATAATGTGCTGTCCTTTGGGGGGAACAGGGGAGGTATGTTTCCAGACCTAGGACCAGCCGGAGTCACAGCCACTGCCTGAACAGGCTACACAACTTGTTCTGTGACAGGTATAATGAGACAGGTGTGATGAGGAGGCCATAGTTAAAATTGCCTGGTCCGCAACGAGGTCTAACCGTGAACTGGGCTGCTACACAGAGAAGCAATACAGCAACCTGACCAAATTTGAAGGGTGCTGGGGGTGGGGCCAGAGCTGAACACCAACCAAGGAAGATGCTTCCTGGGGATTTCCCAGGTGGTACCCCCTTCATCCTATCACTGAGCACCTACTGTGTGCAGGGCCCTACCCAGTCGGGTGCAAACTGCACTGGCCTCGCTCACCAGAAGGACAATCTCTGGTCAGCCCTGCCTGGCCCGGCCTCCGGGGAGCCCCCAGGGAAAGCAGCTGGAGCTGATCTGTGTTACTTCCCTCCTCAGACCAGCATCCCAGGCAGTTCTCACATCCTCCCCAGCATGGAGTAGGCAGCCAGGACCCACTGAGTGGGTGAATGGATGCATGCCTGTGTGAAGGCGGGATCGACAAGCAGCATAATAACTGTAGCTCCTGTCAAAGGCTTTTCCGAGGAGGGAGCTGAACCCTGGCCCACAGTTGAAATGAAGCCCACAGTTTCCTAAAACACAAACTTTCCACCCCACTTTGTTGTCATCATCACACTCATTCCACAAGTCTCCTGAGAGCCTAACCTGAGAGGTGGGTGTTAGGATACCTTCTAGCAGGTGGGAAACTGAGGTTCAGGTTGGGGAAGTGTAGGGTGCAGCTCGCACAGGCCACGAGTGAGAGAACCAGGGTTTGACCTCAGTGCTTCTGACAACGCAGCTGGCACACGGCGGGCAGCAAAGGCAGCAAACATCCACTGAGAAGCCGGCCATGGTGCCCCGACCCTAGACTGGAACTTGGGTGGAGGGTTCTGTCCCCCTCAAGTGTTCCCAGCTTCTCTGAGCCACTGACCATGAGGCTCCCAGCCCTGCCATACAGGGCTGCCCTGGGCACGTTCACCCGCAGGGGTGTTTATCCCAACACACGGACTGACCCTGCTGCCGCACCCACCACCTTCCCCCTCATCCTTTGGCGAGTTTGGCTCCTGTCTCACCATCACTGTCACCATCCCTCCTGCCATCATTCTCGGTGATATTGATATCCACTCAACAGTCCTTCCTGCCCTTGCCCTCTCAATCCTTTGACCTCTTGTCTTGAAGGTCATGGCCTCCACCCTTTGTCAGTCACTCACCCCCATGATCTACCCCAGACCCTGTTGTTCCCAGAAACTGCAGCACCTCCAGGAATAACTTCCAACCGTCCCAAGGTCCAAGCACCACCTCCCCGCTCACTGTCTGCAGCAGCCCCCGCCCATGACTCTGCAGCCCTGCCAGGACTAGCTAACCTTTTCCCTGTCCCCTCCTCCCCTCCTGGCCTCCATTCTCCCCTTCTTCCCCAGCAAAGGGGCCCTGGTCCATCCTACTAATCCCTCCCTTGCACACGCCCGCAGCTCCCTGCCTCAAAGCGACTCTCCTGCTCCACCCAGAGCTGAGGGACACACAGCACCTCACCGCCTGGGCTCACCTTAAGTTCATGCCCTGGACCTCAGGAGGACCCGGGAAACCCCCATAACACCCCGCTAGCTCATTCACTCTCCCACCCTCCCCGATACCTTCTCTCCCTCAAGCCCCTCATCCTCGGTCTCAGCTGGTGACCTCGCTTCCTATTCCCCCGGAGAAAAGAGAACTCTCAGCCAAGACCTGCCATGCCCTCCCGCCATCTTGTCCGCCCACCCGCCCCCAACTGCCCTCCGCTTCCTGTGCTCCTGACCGCCCACCTGGGCACAGAGTCCGTTCCTTCTTGCCTAATAAGATCATTCTTCCAGCAATCATCCCCTTTGCCTCCCACATCATTAATTTTTCTCTCTACTAGATCCTGCCCAGCGGCATACAAGCATGCTATTATTTCTGCCACTTTAAAAAAAGCCCTATTTTGACCCCACAGCTCCCCCATCTACCACCCATTTCTCTACTCTCTGTAGAGCAACACTCCTCAAAAGAGGGGTCTATACGCAAGGTCTCTAATGCCCCTGTTCGCTCTCTTCTCTTGAATCTATTCAGATGGTTAATGTGACGTGTCAAGTTGACTGGGCCACAGGGTATTTGGCTAAACCTTATCCTGAGTGTGTCTGTGAGAGTGTTTCTGGATGAGACTAACATTTGAATCAGTGGACCGAGTAGAGTAGACTGCCCT